TTATGACAAGTTGTCTTTATGAAGTGTTGGTTGTAGAAAAGTGAAAAAAATCACAAGTACAAAGGTCCTCAAAGTGCGCATTGGAAATAATCATAAGGGTCTTATAGTCTTATACACGTGTGAATACAAACTTGGAAAAAATATAAGGGGGGGTATCAAAGGGGGACTTGTGTTTTTATAAGGGGGGGGTATGGAAAGTGAACCTTGCGTTTTTTTGAAAACGATCTTTGCAAGGGGAGACCAGACATTAGGAGGGTGATCTTTCACAGCCTGGGGTTCACATGCTGAACATGTTCAAAATAACCGTGTCACCTATGCTTTCACATGCTGAACATATTAATCATTACATTATATAAGGGTGTTGGTATTAAATCATAAGTTAGTTATAAGGGTCTTATACACGTGTGAATACAAATTTATAAGGGTGCTGGTATTAATATATAGGGGTATTAAATGTATGAGTGCGCATTTAATCATAAAATTGTAAGGGTCTTATAATCAATTATAAGGGTGTTGGAATTAAATCATAAGGGTCTTTTAATTAATTATAAGGGTGTTGGAATTAAATCATAAGAGTGTTGGTATTAAATGATAAGGGTCTTATAATCAATGATAAGGGTGTTGGTATTAAATTATAAGGGTAGTGATGATGTGAGTGCGCATTTAATGTAATTAAATATAAGGGTGTTGGTATTAAATCATAAGGGTGGTGATGATGTGAGTGCGCATTTAATGTAATTAAATATAAGGGTATTGACTATAAGACTCTAATGTGGTGCAATTAAATATAAGACTTATATATTTAAATATAAGGGTAGAGTGCGCATTTGATTATAAGGGTGCTGGTAATAAAGTATAAGGGTATTGAGTTTGAATAAATATAAGGGTATTGGTAATACAATATAAGGGTATTATATATGATTGAATGTAAGGGTAATGGTATTGAGTCATAAGGGTATTAAATGTAACAGTGCACATTTAATTATAAGGGTATTAAATGTGAGAGTGCGCATTTAATTATAAGGGTGTTGGTATCAACATATAAGGGTATTATAATTTGGTTTGGATCACTTTCTGGAGCTATTTCACAGGTTATCACCTACATTAGGAACAGGCCCAAGCGATCTGGTTTGGATAGCAAGGTCTAAACAAAGAGTGGATTGAGCTGCGGGGCCCTTGATGTAAAGATTGTTTTTTTATTTACGATTGCCAAACTCTGTGAGGCTAAACCAGCCACTCAAGACTTGGGTATGTGAAGGCAATCATGGACAATTATTTTTTCGGTCTTTACGGGTATAAGGGATGGCATAATTTGTCATGATCCTTGAACGCAACTTTCACTTTTGGTTTCAGGAACAATTAAGACTTGACGGTTTCAGGAACAATTAAGACTTGACGGTTTCAGGACTTAACACTTTTCAGGGTTTGTTTTAGATAGCCAAACTCGCAATATGACGTAATATCCATTAACTTAGGAGATGACATAACAATGATTGATAATCAGGAACAGGGACATCTTACCACTCTTACAAATTATGATTGTATTTATATCTTGTTGTTCTTGACATGTTGTTGCTGTTTTCTTCATCAGAATAATTATTACTCTTACCTTCCTTTTTCATCTTCGTGTCACAGAAAGCGACGATTCTTCGTGTCATGATTCTTTCTTTTTATATTCTCCGATTTGAGATGCCCCTGCAAGAAGCTTTGTTCTAGCTTGCTTGAGAATTTCTATCTCCAATTTGAGACGCTGTAGCAAAACCCGTTGAGTTTCAGCTGCAACCCTGGTCATCACATTTGGGTTCTGCAACACTTTTTGTTGGAACATAGTTCATCAAATCATTCAATGCATTGGAAGAATTATCAAATCCAGTCATGAGAGTTGAACATGGTAAACCGTTAAATCCATCTGAATCACAGCTGTTGTGAGGATACCCATCGTTGACATGAGTTCAGTCCTTCTGTCTTATATCCTGTTTAATTTTGATGGATCTATTTTACACTTTTTTACATTCTAAAACATGGTTTGATTTGCTTGTTGTACAAAGAAACTTGTTGTTTTTTTGGACTTGGGAAAAATTGGTTTTCATTTGATCTCTTTGTTTCTTTGATTCTTTTTCAAATGTTCTTTTTGATATGATAAAAGCTTGATTTGAATCAATTCAATTACACAGGAAATCTTAAAGGATTATGTTTCACCTCTTTTTCTGCTTGCTGTACCTCAAAAGTTTATGACATGAGCTTCAATAAGTTATTCACACTACAACAAATGACATCTTTACCCGGGGGTATAGAAAAGTAGTGTGGGCATAGAAAACTATTGGTAGGGTACTTTTCTATACCAATAAACAATGCTTTTGATACACCTATGTACAATATTTGAGATTGAGAAATTGAGTATTTTCTTTGCGCTGACTCAGCTGTATGTATTGGGACCCACAGGCAGTGTTACAGTGCACAGAATCTCAATTTTCTGTTTTTTGATATTTTTACCCTAAAATACAATTCTATGCTGATACAAGAGATCTTCAACCATGTTCAGCATTCTGTGAAGATAATGTAGTTTTCCAAGGTGAAAAAAGATTACATTTAATCTACAAAATGATTAATTCTGCATTAATTCTGCATTAATTCTGCATTATTCTGCATTAATTCTGCATTATTCTGCATTAATTCTGCATTATCAATCATTTTGGTCATCAAATGCAATCATTTTTCACCTTGGAAAGATACATTATCTTTGCAGTGTATGCACAATCTTACACAAATTGACAGACACTCTCTACATATGTACAATATGACTGATGGACCATGCTTTCCCATGGGACAAGACTCAAGAAGGGCTTTGAGTCTAGATTTATATATACAGTCCTTGTGGTCATGTGAATATTTTCATCTGTGGGTATAGAACAGAATGGTTTGTCTAGGCATAGATGATACTATCTCTATGGATATAGAAAAGTACTTTACCCATAGTTTTCTATGCCCACACTACTTTTCTATACCCCTGGGTAAAGATGTCATTTGGTGTAGTGTCATTAGGTTTAAGGGCGGGCGGGCCCGCCTAAGGTCTAGTTCTCATAGAAATTTTGACACATCTACATCTTATTTCTATACCGCTCCAAAATATGGGATGTCAACTCCATAACTCGTGACCCTTGCCACATCTTGAAACACAATTAATCTTTTTTGTTTTCTCCCCTCAAGATCTCCATTGATACCCTGTCATGTTGTTTCAGTTGTCCTCAATTTCCAAAAATACCCTTCGCAGTTTCTGAATTCTTGTGAAGCTGACATGATGAACTTTTTCAAGCCATACCCAGGATTATACAATTTTGACATATTGTCTAACAAGATTCAAGTCGACTCTTAGGGCATTCATTCATTTGATTCAATCTCCCTATCAAACCTTGAAGCATCTTTCCCCTACTGGTGCAAGGTGTAAGAGATTACCACTTTTTTGCATGATTGTGGAGTAAATTGTATAATTTCAGAATGACCGCTATGATCACCAAAGCCTCAAAGAACCAAACATTTACAAGAAACAGTGTGGTTTATTTAGCTAGCTATTGAATCTTGAGTTGGTCAAGTACGCATTCCTACCTTACGTCTGACACCATCACAGAAACATCAGCTTTCAAAATCTCTGATAGTCATCATTCACAAATTGACTGACTATCTGCTCAACTTAATCCTTAAACTTGATTAACAGAAAGCGGTGAAGTAATTGAATACTTCAAATTATATTTGAGAATATTGGCTCACCTTTAAGAGTCATACATCACATACAAATCATGTAAAAATGATTTGTAACACTGTGATCAAAGAAGATCAAAAAAGTTTACACAAAAGTGACAAAACATGAGCTTAAAGATATTCACTCACATCCCGCAGAAGTGAGTGTTATCTAATCCCCTTATTTGGTACATGATTATAGAAAGGGATGGAATTTGCTCTATCATCATGATGAGGTGGTGAGTGCATTTTTGTCTAGATGATCAAGTTATAATCAAAAATGTTTGTTGATGTCCTCTCATAAGGGAAGGCATTCCAAACTCCTTCAGTTGCTGGTCAGTCCGCGCACAGAACCGGGGTTGGGGCCACGCTGAGTCAAGTCCTTCTCGGCAAGAGAGTTGGGGCCAACAGGTTTGCGAGTCGCGCGGCCGCGTCCAGTCCAACTCAAATACACACTCGTTTTGTTTTGCGTCTTGCATACATCCTATTCATCCTTGCTCATTCTTGCGTTTCATCATCACCCTCATCTTTGGCTTTCATTGATTGAGGATTTACTACGCAGTGAAAATACGCTCCATGGTTGCTCCATCGTTGACCACGCGTCATGGATCTGCAATCGCGAGCAAGGCTTGTAGCACCAAGTTCTTATGTAGAATTTCAAGTATTGCAAAGGATTTGACTCAGTTAAACAAGACTGGCGAAAACTTTGTTCTGTGGGAACGAGAGCTGAAAGTCATGATTCATAACCTTTCTGGGACGTCCGACTACTTTCAACATCAGTTTGACAAGCATGACCCAAAATTAAACCGAGCGGTTTTCAATCTCATATTCTGGTCAATCGACAAAGAACTCCAACATGACCTCAACATCAATGGATCTGCTGGAGAAGCCTTTCAAGTCTTGGCAGATTGATTTCAATTGACCCCGTCAACACCTTGTATCATGAATCGGCCGGATCTCCCCAAAGAAATTTTAGACAACATCATGAACATTGTTTACCTTTACTCTTCCAAAGAGGAAAGTAATATGCGTCGGAGAAAATGGGAGCATCTGAGTTCATGGCCTGTGCATGAAGAACTGGCGGAAGGAACATCCAATCAATGACCGCCTCTCACTACCTTCCAAAGCCTGGCAGTGGTCAATCAAAAGTATTATAGGCTCTGTTGTCCTAGATTGTGGCAGGTATGTATGTGCCGTGTACGGACTTTGGGTTCACACTGGACTAACTTTGTTAAATTTATCAGAACCTCCTATTTCCAACCTCGATGTCTACTTCTTTGTCACACTGGACCAAATCTCTACTCTTGGATCATGGGAAGCTAGTCAAAACTTTCACTTTTCAATTAGAAGATTTGACACTTATCAACGGTGTCGAGGTACAGCTTTTGGATCTTGAAAGGAGTGCTCACAATAACACAACGGTACCCAAAACCTTAGCAGATGTGGACTCATATTAAACATACGGAATTGGAGTCACAAACATTCAAAAGATCTTCAAAGCCTGTCCTTGCCTAGAGTCGGTAGTCATGCTTATTCCAGAGAATACATATGTCTCACAAGTATCTTCTCCCAGGACATCCCACTTGATAGGTCTATTTGGACTTATCCCCCAACTTCAACAATTAAAATTGAGGAGCCTCAGATATGGTGCAGGTCTTCCAGGCGAATTTGTGATTGATCTTCTCAAAAAGCTACCGGCTCTCGTATCATTGGACCTGTCCTTCTTTGACTTTGTTCCCAAACCGACCTTAGAATAATCCTTTGGATGGAACCTGGCCCAGCTTCAGGACCTTTGCAAATTACGACTTGACAGTGTCACTTGCGAAGATCAAACTTGGAACATGAACTCTTGGCCCCAATGGCTTACGCACCTTGAGCTTTCCAGATGTTGCGGGTTAACAGCTGGCATGGTGCACAAAATCCTCAGTGGTTCTGCTCCCTGTCTCACTAGACTTGAGTTAGACCTTCATCATCCCCAAGACAAACCAGATATTGATAGTCAGACTGATCTCCCGGCTCTCAAACAACTCTTCCTCGAATGTGACTCAGGGTTCTCCATTGCAAGCTTTAAGGGCTGTAAAGGCATAGAATGTATTCAATATCCTTGCATAGTGACCAATGCTCTATGGGACTTGATGAAGCCTCTTTTATTCACATACACATGGCCTAAGCTCTCATTTTTGAATCTTCGACATACAACGATGATCATTGATCACGAGAATTTGCAAATACCAACTAAGAAGGAAGTGGATGAAATATGGGATTCTTTGAACATCAAACTCTTGATCAATGTAAAGAAGGATCTATTGGGTCTGGTTCAACAGGTCCGCCAATCTTAGTTGAAGAATGTGACAGGCTGAAATTTTGTAATCTTTATTATGTATTATACAAAAACTTTCTTATCTTGTCTCAGTCATACCCAATGGATCACCCACAGTACTTGGGTGATATACTTTCAAACACCTTATATGTTGGATGAATGATTCAACCAAAAATTATCCACATTTTCATCAGTCACATCTTCATGAATTATGATAAATTCTCACATGAGAGTCAAGAGCTCTTGCTGAACCCATCCGATGTCTTCAAAGTCCATCAGTAGATAGCCTGATCGATGTGGTAGCTTTACTGCCACAAGCAGTAAACAGTACCCAAAAGAGGAATTAAACCACTCTCAGATCTAGAGGGTTTAAGCCTGTAGCTGCTCTTTCTAAAAGTATAAATAGAATATAAAAAAAGATATATATATAAAAAGTCAAAGTCCAAAAGACTTTGGAGGAACTCAATTAAGCTCACGGTACGCTCAAAAGCACGACAATTCTCAACACCCAAGAAAAAGATGTTATTCCCAGATTTTCACTACGCTACGCAACTGAATCTATTAAACAAAAAAAAAAAGGAAAACTAAGCTACTAATATATTAATTCTCCCTCGTAGAGGGGGTGGATTTAATAATGACCTGAGACTGATGTAGTAAAATAACTAAATGTATGATAACTATTCGCTGTCTGAGATGAAGAAAGAAAGAAAAGAAGCGAAAACAATGCCAATGAGACGGCTCTATTTATTATTTTTTTGTTAAGGCTCTATACCAGGTAGTCCCTCGAAAACGTTCATCCACACACACACAAAGATAAAAAATATGAAAGAATAACCCCAAGGAAACAATAAAAAACCGCTACCGTAACTCCCCTTCCGCGATATCAAGAAAAGACAGCACCACCTCAATCTCCCCTTTCTTCGCGCTGTCCATAACATTTCCCCATCTGTCCAAGTACTCCGTCTGATGACTCAAGTCCGTACTGCTGTTGGTAGGTAAAAGGGTGTAACGAAACTAGCCGTTGACAAACTGACAGATTAAAGTCCACCTTCTTAGCTGTTCCCAATTGTAAAGTAAGTTTTTTTCTGTTTTCTCTATCTCTTTTCTCTCCGCCTCAATCCTTCGCGATGGGGTACTAACATCTCTATTTCTGACCTTTATATCTTCAAGCTAAACTATGATCGTATCCGTATCAGCCTCTCTACTTGCTCTCCTCTCTGTAGCGTAGATGTCACACTTTTTTTTGTTGTTTATTAGTAATTTTATTTGTGGATGTATTGGGTTTGTCAGATATTTTGTCGGCCATCTCGTCGAAGGGTTTTCAAGATTGAAATGTAAGAAAATTGTCTATTTGACAGCCTTACGTCGCGCGAGTGTTTAATCAAGAGTCAATCAGAAAGAAGGAAACAAGTCACCAGGACTTGTGGTTGTTTTTTGTGCTTCTACTTCTCCGACGTAGATGATAAAAAGAGTGTAAGGAGAAAAGGCTAGGATTTTTTAAAAAATGTAATTTTGTTGTAGGGTGATTTATCAGCTCAGCGCGTTGAGATTCCCCTCTCGCTAATTAAGGATAAGGTTTCCTGAGCACAATAAAAAGGTGACTCCCTCCAAAGATAAATTTGAGCAGACGAGAGCTTTTGCGCACCACATCGAGCACTTGACACACCATTGAGGCCGTTTGTCTATTGCCCTATGTCACCCCAGCGCTCGTTTGATGTGAATTTCCGAGAATCTCATTCTCATCGATTATCCCTGATACCAAGTTCCCATTCATAGAGAGACATAATATGCATTTTTTTGCTAACCAATCCCAAATCCCAAATATTGACTTCGTAATGATAATTTCTCCCACGCCTTTACACCCGATCTCAATTTTGTCCTCCTCAAGATCTTCCTTGGTCACCCGTCATTCACTTCCAACTGTTCCCGTTGATCAAAAATTCGAGGCGTCTCTCAACCTCTGTTAAGGGTGCCCGATGTCCATATCTTGCCCTCTCTGCCAGATGATCATATATGCCTGACGCATCTGATTACATAAAAGGACTTTTACAGAATTCATCTACACTTAAGAAGTGACATTGACTTATTGTGAATATTTAACAACATCAATGTCAAAACTCATGGATTTTACTCTTGCTCATAAGGTAAGAGTTGACAGCGTAGGACGTCAATGCCTTGACTGATTCTCAGCTAGGCATATGCATGTGCTGAGGCTTGATAGCTGAAACAGATCCAATGATCAAATGCTCAAAATTGTCTCTTTTGCTCATAAATCTTCAAGCTCAAATCGAGCACTCAACATCTCATCATCATCCAAAGGAATTCCAAAAAGATTCACTCATACTTGTTGTGGTCAGTACTTGAAATTGGATTATATTTCAAGCCCCATCACAAACTTATCTCCTTCAATCCTTGCGCCTGTCCAGTTTTGGTTTACTTTGATTTACTATAGCTCTTCTCTTTTTGACTTGACATTTGTTTTTCGGAAAGAATGCTTTTGAATGTCACTCCTTGCACCAAATGGCTTTAATAGCTGAATAACTCGTCGTTCGACCCTCAAAGGATGGATCAAATCGTTACCGTCTTAGTCATCCCCAAATCACAATCCCAAAAGGACTATGTAAATACCTTTCTTTGTTATGGTATCATATGAAATCAAAACTCACTCTCATGCTTGAACCACCGAAGTTTTTTTTAATTCTTGTGCACGCAGAAGAGCTTGATCTTACAAGACTATAATCTTTGAAAACCTCCATGGATCTACAGAAACCAACACGCACTCTCTTTTTCTGATGTTTGATATTTTTCAGGTAAATTTGGGTTGGCAAAGCATGGTTTCCTCAGTTTCTTGTCAGTGGCAGCGCGGGTATAACAGCGGGGCCGGGTTCAAAAGGTTTGTTCGGCTTGTCTCTATTTGCAAAGAACAAAAAAACAAGTCGTCATCTGGTTCTCATTCAACGTACAATCTCATTCTCGCCCTTCATCATCACTGATCTTCATCTCGGATACAATGAAGATTGCATCATAAAAACAGTGCTATGGCTACTTCATCGGTCATCAAGCGTCATAAATCTGACATGGCAAGTGAGGCTTGTAGCACCAAGTTCTTATGCAGAATCCCTAGCATTGCCAAAGAAAGCTCCCCGTTGATGAAGACTGGCGAGAACTTTTGCCAATGGGAACGGGACCTGAAAGTCATGATACACAATCTTTCCGGGTCATCGGACTATCTTCAACACGAGTTCAACAAGCACAATCCAAAATTGAACCAAGCAGTGTTCAACTTGATATACTGGTCAATCAACAAAGACCCCCAACGTGATATTAACATCGACGGTTCTGCTGGAGAAGCCTTTCAATTCTTAGCAGGTCGATACCAATCAGATAATTTGACTGAATTTATTATGATTCGTGCAAATCTTCCTGAAGAAATTTTAGACAACATTGACAACATTGTTTTCCTTTACTCTTCCAATGAGTGCAGTGCTATGTGGGCGAGGAAATACAAGAGAAAACAACCATGCAATTTATCGGCTCGAACTACATTTCAAAGCTTAGCAGTTGTCAATCAAAAGTTTTACAGGCTTTGTCTTCCTAAATTATGGCAGGTATGAATGTTTTGTACATGAACTCCAATCCACACTTGACTAACCTTATCAAATCCATCAGAGACTCGACTTTCTGACCGAGTGCGAGTTACCTGCTCCTATGTCAATTTGGACAGAAGATATCCTCTTGAAACATGGAAACTTAGTCAAATCTTTCAGATTCAAATTAGAAGATTTGGACCTTATAGTTAAAGATGATGATGAAGTCTTTTTGGAAAGTCAGAGGAGTAATTTCAATAACGGAAAGCGGATTTCCAAAGACACCAGGTGGGATTATCCATCCGGACTTGGACCAATGAACGTTGAGAAGATTCTCAGAGCCTGTCCTTGTATCAAGTCGGTAGAAATGATTTTTCCAGAACATACATATCTTTCAGTATTGTCTTATCCCCTTACTTCTCGCTTCAAAGGTCTTTTCAGACTTATCCCTCACCTCCAACATCTAAAACTAAGGGATCTTGGATGTAGAGGTTCTCCAAATGAATTTACAATCGATCTTCTCAAAAATCTACCGTCTCTCGTATCATTGGTACTCAAAGACTTCAGATTTAGTCAGAAAGCATCCACAGAAGAATCCTTTGGGTGGAACGTGGCTCAGCATCAGAACCTTCTTAAATTATGTCTCAAGCGTGTCACCTGCAAAGATCAAACTTGGACCTTGAGTTCTTGGCCTCAACCGCTTGCAACTCTTGAGCTTCACTATTGCAAAGGATTGACTCCTGTCATGGTGCACAACTTACTCAGTGGTTCCGCCCCCTATCTCACGAGATTCGAGTTTAAGCTTGAACATCCCTCAAGTGAACCAGATGTTGATAGCCAGACTGATCTCCCAGCTCTTAAAGAACTTCTCCTAGATTGTGGCTCAGGTTTTGCTCTTGCAAGCTTCAAAGGCTGTAAACATCTAGAAATGATCAAATATCGGTGTATAATGAACAATGATCTATGGAACTTGGTGGAGCATCTTTTGTCTACATATACATGGCCTAAGCTCTTGGTTTTGAATCTTTGCCATGAAAGATGGAATATTGATCGGAATAATTGGAAAATACTCACTAAGAAGGACATATATGAGTTTTGGAAATATTACAAAATTACACTCTTAATCACTTCGGAGGCAGATTTATACTAGCAGCTGTAATGAATATTTATCATTGTTTGAGGACTCTGGCTTTTGTTTCAATTTTAACCTTTGATCAGCAAGAATAAATTGTTTTAAACTTGGCAAATCTAATGTCTTTGGATTAAGCAGTGTAGCCAGTTCTGAGGTTGATCCGACATTGGAGCATTGAGTACGTATTTACCTTTTGACCTGTACTTTCCCTATTACATTAGCCAATGCAGACCTGCAAAAACCTTGATCTGATCTGATCACTTTGAATACTAAGTGCCCATATACAGTTGGACAAGATGACCATATTCTTTTGTTAATAATTCAAAAATTGAATACCAGCGTCTTAACTTGTAAAACCTCCAACACATTTTGCCACTCTTTCTGATTATCTTCTTTTTAAGATCTTCATTTATCAGCTGACATCCAGTATCAGTTTTTCTCAGCAATGTTCAAAACCTTACATACCTTCAAGAGAAACAAAAATTAACAGGTCCTGGTGTGGATGAATTGAAGAGGTCTATAATTTGAAAATTTGACTCCTTGCTAAGAAAGCTCTCAAACAAACACGGCAATGCTAATCTAAGACCTTTAGTTTATTTCAAAGAAATATAGAAATGTGGAAAGCTATGGAGAGCAATCCTGAGTGTACACCAATCTCAATACGCTAGACTATCATATGTAAGTTTAACAGTGTAACTCTTGCACTGACATTGATAGCCCATCAGTTTGAAATCAAAGAGCAGGGAATAGCACGTATTCTAACAAAGCAATGAAGTCAAGGATAACGTAAAAAAGAAGATACCACAAATAGAATGGAAAATAACCATAGACAAAGATAATCAAAAAGAGACTATTCAGGATGTATATACCATTGCACATCCCTTGCCTCGACACCTAGTTTTTCATAGATACAGAGTTTGGGTTGGCTCACACTTCAAGATCAAGTGGCCTCAATCACCTGAGAACTTACCTTTTGACCATCAACTTGATACCAAAATGAAGCTGCCAAATCTTTTTTCATTTCAGACTGAGAACATAATGCACCACACATCAATGTGCATCATACAAATCCAATACCATTAACCATCCTATTGATCCTAGCAATGTATAAAATACATTTGAATATCAAACACCTACTAGTACTAGATAATATCCAACCAACAAAGAAGAACCAGAACCAACTAAGCCATGGAGAATGGAAGCCTGAGGTGTCCAAAATTTCAGACTGTTGCGGAAGGTACAACAAGAAATAATCTGTAGTCAGCTGGAAAGAGTTTGAATCCAAGCATAATTCACGGGAGCCCAAAATCATTTGAAACAGCTTTAGTGAATTATTAAAACACTTTGACATCAGGTATCTTCATGAGGCCAAGGATTACAGGACACAGCAAGTGAGAGGGGAAGATTTTTTCAACAGGTTTTGTGAATGCTCCATGGTTAAAAACCAAAACTTGCAAGGGGGAGTTTGGAGTTTGGGTGTAAGTAGGGGTGTAATGTTATGAGCTCATAATGCATGTAACTCTTAGTGAAAGGCTTGTAGCACATGTCACAAAGTTTACACTTATACATGTTAATGTTGTACATCTATTTCTCTTTCTTTCCCATCTGACAATCTGAATTGTAGTCTTAGACACAACCCTGAGCCAGCAATGCAGCACGTTGCAGCAGCCCATTTATTTGTAGCGGCGCTCCGCAACACGCAGGCAAAACCCGTGACTTTACCTGCGCTGCTCAAAATACCGCAACACCAAATATATAGACGGTGTCTCACCGCGCCATTCTCCACAACACGGAGCAACGCAGCAGGTGCAACACAGCCAAATAAACAAAACACAAATAACTTTACTATTTCACACTTATAATCAAGATAACATAGAAAAACTTCTTCTAAAACATGTAAATCATATCTTTCACCTTTTGATAAAGGACACATGTATTTAAATCAATTAAATGAAACACCACTCTTGTATACACTTCTAATTAAAATGACTTCACATTGAATTTAATCAAGTACCACACCAAAAGCTTTGAAGATTGCAGTGAGATCAGCAAAATCAGAACCCAGCATTACCCCTTCCCTTAACCATAACCGACTTGATACTAGGGCCTCAATGGTTTGGGCGAGAAGGCTCCCACAATCACTTGCACAAACATCAGCAGTGCACAAAAATATTCTTTTGGCCGCGCATGAGGACCCGGTGGTTGCTAAGTAATCCCATGCCATGATGGCCATAACTTGATAAACTTGTTTGTGTTTCTGACAGAAAAAAAATCAGCTATCAAGACGAAATGAGTGAAGAAAATGAGAATGAATCACTTACAGACCACCACTGAAGAGCAGACTTAGGATCATCTAAATCTTAGTCTCATTGTTGCATCCTGTCCAACATTAGTATTTAGTTATCCAATGAGTTATTGATGGTGTCAGCTGCATCTTCCTCCTCATCGTCAGAGTCGTTGTGAAAAATTCTTGGTTTCACATGCGACGGATTGGCAGGAACGTCTTCTTGAGTGGAACTTGAAGGTTGTTGACTAGGTGAAGTCTTATCATACTCAGAATAAAGTCGTCGGAGAGTGGTTTCTGCTTTCATCAAAATAGCACCAGACTTTCCACCAAACCACTTCTGGAAGAACTTCAGGCAAAATAAGGGATGAAGTAAAGTGGCCATTACCAATGTCTCGCACCCAAGGGCTTTGTTGAGATATTCTTGAGTCTTCTGCAGCATCTTTGCGAGCATCGGATAAACGGCATCTGTAGTAGTCAACTTTTCAATCTTCTCTTCTAAGTTATGTCCAAGTTCAACATATTGTGGTATAACCATACACCCTGTTGGGCCATCACCTTCCATTTTCTTGGTGATGGCTAGGAATATCTACATACAAGTGAATAGTCAGTTGGAATTGTGAGGAATTCATAAGAACATGAAAGAGATCTTTACCCACCTCGAGTTTGTCATTGATCCTTCAAACCTGGTCCCATTCAGCTGTTGTGATTTTGAGCTGATGGAAGTAACCATACGGCTTGCCGTTCTTGCAAGGGCGGCGTCCTACAGCAAGAACTCAGTCGATGTCTTCTTTGCAGAGTTGATTGATTACCTGTGCAAATAAAACAAAAGCAAAGAATTTTGTTAGTGAGATTGGTTTTGAATCCAAAAGATGATTAAGATAAACTTACAGATTGGGCTAGCCAAGCTTTGTGCCTGCTCTCATATTTAATATTCCACCGGATTATGTACCCGGCAATGAGCAAGCCCAAAAACTCCTTCTTTGCACTGACTCTCTCAAACTCCTTATGCCAGGCGGCCGAACAAGTAATGTGATGTACAATAAAATTGACCTGAAATACAAGTTATAATCAGTAAGTGTTTGAGCCCTCCTCCAAGACCATAGCAGGGGTGACATCATCCTCCACATCAGCTAGATCCCAATTGGCCTCGTCTTCTATTCCAGGTACCTTGCCAGAACTTGGAGTGGGAGTGGCATTGGGCAACTCCCCAATATCATCAATGTTGTGCTTGGGTAGAACATCATCAAGTTCCCCTTTGTCTTCTTCCTTGATAATGGTTGGAAAATGCCCTCTGGCTGCTGATTTCGCTTTTGCAGGAGGTGGAGCCTTGACACCAAGTTCAGCAAGTCCTGCGTTGACTATCAAAGCTAATTTGTGACAAAAACAAAATATATGCATGGTACTTGGGTCCCATGCATACTTTATACCATCTTCTTTGACTGGTTGCAACACAAATTGGCAATGCATTTTGGATACCATCATCTTATTGTTTGATCCTGAATCAGTGGTTTGGCAGATCAGATGTGAGGCAGCAATTGAAATTCAGTGTCAGTATTATGTTTTGCTCAAGTATAAATGGACATCTGAAAATCAAACTCATCTTTTGAAAGATATTGTGCTTAACTAATAAGTTCACAATGGGTTCCGCTAGCCAAGGACCATGGTGATGCTACGCTACCACCTTGAGAGTGACATGGTGTACATGATAGGCCCACTTGACATCAACATAAGTTACTGAAGTGCCGATGAAACCCTGTCGGTTTCCCTTGCTAGTCCACTGGTTGTGGACCAGGTTGTAACAAGAGGTAAGGCTCTGAGAGATTTTCCAGATATGCAATATCAGTATAGGTAAATGACAAGCAACAAAAATAAATATGAGTAACTTATTTTAAGGGATTTAAAAATGTTCTCTTTCAAATACTTGTTGATCTTCCTGGCTTCTGTGGCAACCCATTTACAACCATACAACTTTGCATCACGTCTAAGGTAAGTAACCATCACTCTTAAAATTGGATCTTTGACTCAGGTCCAAGGGAGGGTGTGTCTGATAAGCCATGTGCAAGCTAGCTGATTGAAGGTGAGGTTTTTAAAGTGGTGACCAGGGGTAGTAGTTACAAAACCATCAAGGGTAGTTCCATTCTTGTTGATTTCAGCTGTGTGTTGTTCTGCAACAGAGAGAGGCACAGCCAAAGACGCATCCTTTCTTGCCTTTTCTTGACTGGCACATCCTTTAGCAGATCGGCCAGTTTGTGTTGATCCATCCCAATGACCCCGTAAAGCATTGGTCATATTGCCATAGCTTACTTGCACGGGTCTTTTTCGTTTTTATGGCAGAACCGGCACACGTACAATAGGGGTGGCTTGGATGGGTCCTATAGTATGGGCCAAAACAAATGACCACAGATTAAAAAAGGAATAAAATAGATTGAAAGAAAAAGAGAAATCAGAACAAGAAAGAATGATTTCAAAAAGGAAGAAATATAGAAAGTCGCAACTTCACTTACATTGTTCTTTCTGTGCGTCGGTTTGTGAAAAAATGCCCGCAGTTTTAATAAATCACCATCACCATGGTCTACCTTGCGCAGTGGTCTCTTGATCACCACCCCAGTCACCTTGATGTCAGAATTGGCTTGTAGCATTGCTTTGGTGACATTTGAGGAGATGTGCTGGAAAATCAAAAGGTATGCTATTATTTTCTGGTTACTTACTGTGAGGGATGAGAAAATAAACTCACATCATCTGAATTGGGCACCTGGGTCAAATCCTTACGCTTGCGAGGTCTTTTAGATTGATTCTCCTTCTTTCTAGAAGGTTCAACACTGATAATCAATGTTTCAGAATCTGAAATGGGCTGGTGCTTCTTTCTGGCAGGTTGAATAAGAATGGAAGTGTCTGAGTTGGGTTCAGGGTTGTTGGTGTTGGGTTGTTTGTGCTTTGAACTTGATTGGGCAGGTGGGTCAAAGTCAACACTGACTCGTTGATGAGAGTCAGGTGATGGTCAAATCATTCCGGCGTGGTTCACTGGCTGTCTGGACCAAATGGTCCGGCTAGGGGTATCTGAGCAAATTGACAACATCGGTAGTTTATTGGTGGTGAGCGGAACTTGTACAATGAGGAAATTTGAAGTGGAATCAGACTGTGATTGGGATGATAAGGAGATACAATAAATCTAGAAGGGGAATCGAACATGAACCAGGCAATAAATTGAATCAGTGAATGAGAAAGCAGTTGATGAGATTTGAATTGGATGGGAAAAGAGATGGAGTGAATGAAAAGAACGAAGTGACTCACCCTGGCTTCATGATAGAGGTCATTCCAGTTGTTTCCAACATGGGTCCCATGGCAAAAGGACCAATCCATCACAATCTGCTAGTGCGGATGCGTTGATGATTGATTGCTTTGAGGTTTGTTAGTGTGAAACAACATGAAGCCCTGCCTAATTGGGCATAGCTTACGGTTCAAAATCCGCCCCGCAACACAAGCAGGCTGCGGGTCAGGACCGCAGCACAACCGCAGACGTTGCGGTCCCAAAACATCTTAAAAATCCCGGCCCCTGTCGCGCCGCAGGTCTAGCCGCAACAAAAGGGCAATACCTGTGGTGCGGTGCTGGCCTTTGAATCCGCAATGCACCCGCACTGCGGCACGCAACAGGCGCTTTGCTGGCCCAGGGTTGTTAGACATCAGGCCCTCAATCCCTGTTACAGAACCCCAGACCCAGCCTTAGCAGGAGCCCATGGGGTACACTCCAAGATATGACAAGGGGGTGTGCATCAATTCCAACACATTGACACCCCCACATTGTGAGGTTGATAATTCTGATCTTTCCTAAACTGAAGACCCAGTTGGAAAGCTTTGTTCCTTCCTAAATACCAGTGCACAATCTGAAGACACAATAATTGGACAAACAAAAAGGGAACACTTGAAGTCATGTTATTGACTTTGTTGAGTCCCAAAATAGCCCCAATAGGTGACATCTTGAGGCTTTTGGGGTACACCAGGACAGGTGACAAGGGGGTGGGCATCAAATTGGTGTGCTATCACCCCTGCAATGTGAGTTTTGTATTGATCTCTCAATCCTCCATTTTGTGGACCAGCTGCAAAGATTTCTCCCGCACTACAGATTTCATGATGTAATTAAGATTCTCTTTTTACAGATCTGCACAGCAAGCACACAATGATCATAAGACCCATTGCAAGACTGAAGATTCACTTCAAGATTCATGACACAAGACACAAGATGCAAGATGATTTTGTTGATTCCACCACAAGGCTAAAACTTTAGTGCACAACTCAAAATAACCTTAATTTGCCGCAAGACTTAAGATGATGTCAATTTGCTGCAAGACTCAAGATGACATTTCATTCACTTCAAATGTTTTCAATCACAAAACCTTTCTCTCTCACATTCTTGTCTTTCTGCTATAATGGGGTTTGATTCTGTATATTTTTTCAAATTTCCATGCAATGGGCTATATTGGTCAGTCTAAGTGTAAGTTATGCCATTTACTTTTCTTTTTTTCCTTGTTTTTCTTTTGGTGTGGTATTGTTTGTTTTGTTTTGTTCAACATTTTAGAGGGAGTTGAGTTTGAAGAATACTTGACTTTCCAGAGCTAGGTCATAACAATGTACCAAAATCTAAAGTTGATTGCTCTCTTGAGAAGTCATGCCAGAGCCTTTACCCACAATGAAGGTTCACATCAAACCTTACATTTAGATCCTCAATTCCAAGAACCTAGACTCGTGAAGGACATTTAGGTGAAGTTGTAGCTTGCACAAACAAATTTAAATTGAACAGGTCAACATGAAGAATGATCAACTTGCATGAACATCAGATACTGGTATTGTGGATGATAACACCTCTATACATCTTATACACAACTCATCCTCATTTTCTGCCACATAATTCCAACATCTCGAACATTTTGATCTCCAAGCCGGAAGCAAAACCATCCGGACTACGAAGAGACACCATAAATGCGCAGATCACAGGATTGATCAGGATCGATGATGATTGCTTCATTCGAAAGTTGATTGACTTACAAGGTAATCCACCAGAATTTGAAGTTGATGTGACCTCATGTCTCCATGCTGGAGATGCTAGATTGACGACCGTTTCAGCCGCGTTGAAACTTTTGCATATTGATACGTCTGACAACCCAAACAGACGAGGGAGTAGATCGGCTGTTCAAGACCCGTGATGTCAGGTTAGAATTAGAGACAGGGAGCTCTTATAAAATCAATAGATCACGCACTATGTTCTATGAGGTCAGACATAACTGGAGTTTTAGAAGCTTCACAACTGGACAAATCGAACACGGCCTCGACTTCAGACGCAACCGTGATTTTCCTGCAGATACAATCGGAGCGTAAATCAACAGGTCAGTCTATGAGAACGTAGAGCGGTCAAATAGACTGTCTTACTTCTCCTTCCGAAGCAATTCTAGCTCAGATTGTAGTGCAGTTCGCAGAGTTAACAGTCTCGTCATTTGCTCCTGTACGAGAGGATTTTGCCAGCTTTCCGGCTATTATGATTACAAGTGTACATTCACGAAATTGCAAGTGAAGAACTTATCGGACATCAGCCAAAATTCGCAACGATCTTGAGTTTACATAGAATGGCAGCGTACCAAGACAGGCCACTGCTCGCAAAAGATACTGAAGCCTTCGACAGATTCCTCATTGTTAGTCTTCATGTGCAATGATATCTCTTCAGCGAGATGGGGCAAGATTGGAGCCAAAGCAAAACGATAGACATTTAGGATCTACGTAGATTCCAAGCAATGACAAGCAACTTTTGATCAATGAGTACATGATCATTGGTATGAAAGCCAGAGAGTAATCTTACTTGACTCATTACATACACGACGTTCTGCCTATCCACACTCTTATCTGCATCATTGTACAGCGTATCTTTGCTTACTTCAAAATAGAATGCCGAGAGCGTATTTCCTCGGAATTCGGTGATCAACTGGACGACTGTAAAATGAATACAAAGAGAAGAGTTATGGTTGGTCAACATTTGAGAAGTGATTCGATCACGTTGCAAAAAAGGACGAGTGTAGAAGATGCTAACCTTGATTGAATGACATCACGTTGTAAGCTGAAATGATGGCATGGTAGAATTCATATACAGCGTGCAATGTATACCTCTCGATCTGAATGTGAGTGGCGAAGTATATGGCTTTAACGATCCGGAGGCTGAACGTGATATATCGCATCAAGATACAGAGACAAATACGTACCAATCCAAATTGTTTGATACTAATCTCATCAAAAGCAGCTGGACTACCATCTGGGAATGTGTTCCCTAGCAAGAACCGCGCCGTTGATCGTAACTTTCGACAGGTCTCTGATATGTAACCGAGCTGGTCAAAGGTGATGGAGACATCCTTTGTGAAGTCGACAGAACTAGCCCACCATCGAAGCACGTCGATCCCAAACCTCGGCCTTTTCACCAACTGATGAGTCCCGTGTTCAATCGCAGGTTCCCAGACAGACAAAGAAGACAATTTGGAGTCAGCTGATCGATCGTAGCAAGGATTTGATAGTGAGGATTTGAAGTACTGAACCATATTGCCATCAAGAACATCCATAGGACTGATCACATTACCCAACGATTTGCTCATCTTACGACCGTTTTTATCAAGAATGAAACCGTGAGTTACCACGGATTGATAAACAGATTCTGATGAATGACAGGCAATTGAGGTCCAAAGTAGTGATTGGAACCAGCCTCGATGCTGATCCGAGCCCTCCAATACTAAATTAGCTTTTTGATCTTTCAAAGTTAACCAAGACATTCCACTATCAAGCCAAACGTCCATCGTATCGGTAGATTTTTTGAAGCTTCCCTCTACTCCAGGTGGGATGAAATCTTGCACCGGACCTTGCCACCAATGGTCTGTGCCTTTCACCTCTAAGACGTGAGCGATATGTAAGATTGACTCGGCAGTTAACAGAGGCAAATTCGTCGCCACGTCGTAGAGAACAGGAATCGGTACACCCCATGGTCTCTGACGCGAGATACACCATTCCGACCGTGAGTGGAGGAAAGATTCAAGCCGAGTTCGAGCCCGCTCTGGATGGAATCGGACTTTAGAGAGGGATGCAAGCGCTAAGGGACGGATCTTCTCCAATGAGATGAACCACTGAGGGGTAATTCTTCAAAGACACGATCCATAGCACATCAATCATCGGATACACAGTTTATCGTACAGTTGATTCATGGCAGTGATGTTGACTGGTCATTCGATGCTTACTTGGTGATCACTGGCTTTTTGGTGCGCCAATCATAGGGGTATTTGTGCCGAATCTTGATCACTTCGCCAAGAAGCCGGTTTTGCTGACGAAGCATGGTGATGACATGTCGATTCCCGTCATAGAGAACCTCTTTTCCTTTCAACTGATCCATCCACTCTGTCGTCTCGCCATCAATCTTGAATCGACCCAGATCATCCACCACATCAATGTATCTCAATGACAGATGGTCAGTCATAAATGAATTATAAGCGTGAAAATCGTCTTGTCCATGTGATGGAGCTGTGTGAACCAGTCCTGATCCACTCTTCATGGTGACATGCTTAGCCACAAAGGTCGGAAGTTCGCAATTCGTGAAATCATGAGTATAACTTGTCGAGCTCAACTCCTGACCTATCCGATAGATTACAGGAGGTGAAGATTCCAGGATAGTAATAGAACCAATGTAAATTGTCAACAAAAATGCCTCGCATGATACAGACGTTATGGAGAGGATTTCTTAAAAGGGAACTCCACCTGTAAGCTCGCCCACGACTTCGAGTGGACTTTCTACGCCTCCTAATATCTCTTGCAACACCGGAAGACGGCTAGTAGCAAATATCAATAACTCGTTACTTGATGAGCTACGGGTATCTTTGACTATAGAGTACTGATCATGCGAACTGAGTGCGACTGCCTAATTGAAGAACAACAAATAAGTGATGTATTAAAACTCTAGAACGGTCTATACAGAGTCTTGAAGAGATACCTACTTGATTCGCAACTAGTGTCCAAGGTGTTGTAGTCCAGACAACTAATTTGACTGATTTTAATTCATGATCTTTCAAAAGTTCAGCTAATCGTTTCGAAGGTCGAACTACATCAAAGGTAGTGTAAACAGACAGACTGCGATGATCTTCATTGTACTCGATCTCTGCCTCAGCAAGAGCAGTGCCAGAGGAAGGTGAAAAATAAACAGGTTTGCTGGAGCGATAAATGTAATCATTCTCAAGCATCTTGGCGAATAAGCGAATTTGCTGAATTTCATATTTTGGATCTAGGTAGTGTAAAACCTGTGGTCAACAGATCAACGCGTTGATAGTCATGTGGAATAACATGAGAGATGTTAGGAGCTTGGTATCTTACCCATAGTCCGCCAAGCCTTTGACCAATCAGTCAAAATTGACAATCTTTCGAATTCCTTCGTTTGTAACTGTACGCCAGTATCAGCTGCTTGTCTTGCTAAGGACCTGATGACTATTGGATCTGATTGATTGAGTTCAGATGATTCTCGTAAGGCTTCGACGGCTTTGAGCTCCAGTGGTAGACCATGACAATCAAAGCCAGGTACATAACTATGGCAGTCCAAGCGAATTGATCAGAGTTTAGTATACACCTTTTTGGACCGTTCAAAATATGATCGATAACTTACTTGATTCGGTAGCCATCTAGAAGTTTGACTCGATTAATAATATCTTTGAGGATTTTGTTCAGAGTATGACCTGCAAATGATATCACCAATTTAGAACCCAAAGGTCATCAAAAGCAGAACATTGTAAATCAGCACCCATGTGAAGTGGTCCATTCGCATAAGGAGGTCCATCGTGAAGTGTCCAAACTGGTCGATCAGACTGTTTCTTCTATGGAACAACATTCAAGATTAGATTGAGAATAGTCATCAATGAAAGTAAAATACTTACCTGCCAATCCCAAAGTCTTTTTGTGGTTCTTTCACGTAATTGAACTTCGTCCGATATAGGATCAGATTGACGAAGTGGAAAAGATGTACGAGGTAATTTCAGTGTATCAGTGTAAAGGTTTTTGATCGTAGATTGTTGAGAATGTAAACTAAAGATCGAAAGATGCACTTAGTTAACTCTAATATTGAAATGATCATGATAGCTTGTTTAGATAGAATGAGACTTACTTATTGTGTGATTGAGTGAATGACCTTTGATTGTAACATCTCAATCTGGTTGGTTGAATTTTGAAGCTGAGCATTGAGCTCAGCAATTTCTGGTATCTTGTCAATTTGGAATCTTGCATTTTGTTTTTTTTTTCAGAATTGCAAGTTAAACTACATTTTCAATACCAGCTTATTATTTAATGGGTTTTAGATAAATCAGTTTTTGATCGATCGACTTGACTGAAACTGAAACTCACTTCATCATCATCATCATCATCAACAACAATCTCAAGCTCAGCACTGAATATCAAGATCAATTCTCGCACAGGATACAATTCTAGGTTGGTCATCTCATTGAGATCTCAATTGGATCCATCATCACAGTTGACCCTCATGATATCTTCTGATGTTTGATCCAACAGGCTTCCACTTCAATAAACAATCTTTCGAAGCGCTAAACTAGATGTTCAACCCTCGACGTCATCCAACTCATCCCTTGATCCTACTTATATTCTTATTGAGGATTCAAGCTTCACCTGGAGATTACTCACCTGGTTATCAACGTTGCGTGAATGAATGTAACTTTAGGCAATGTTATATCGTCGATTCAGATCCTCATCAACTACCTTTCTCACTTCGACTCTTTCATTGGACTTGTCCTGATGATTGTTCTTATAGATGTATGCATGATTTAACTGAAAAGGTTTTAAAGCTACCAAAAGCAATCGCTCCTCCTGATCAACCTTTCGAAGGTTGGTGGGACGAACCAGATTGGACTCCTGGTGTTGAACTTGAAGGTTTACCTCCTGGTAGAATTGTGCAGTTTCATGGAAAATGGCCTTTCAAACGTTGGCATGGGATTCAAGAACCTCTATCTGCTCTCTTTAGTATCTTTAACTTACTTACTTATCTATTCTCTTACTATCAATTAAAAAATACCATCCCTCGTTCATGGCCTTTACGAAACTTATACCTGGGTAATACCTTTGTTGGGATGAACGCTTGGATTTGGAGTACAATCTTTCATTGTCGAGATAAACCTTGGACCGAACGTTTAGATTACTTCAATGCCGCTGCTTATGCTCTCTATGGTCTCTATTTGGCTTGTGTGAGAATCTTTCGACTTTATCCTACCAAGGCCAAACATCATCTTCCACTCGAACTTAGGCTTTACTACGCCAGTCAACTTAAATCTATCCTTAGTGCTATGTTTCTGGCTCATATCGCTTTCTTAAGCGCTGGTGAAAGGTTTAATTATAAATATAATATGTTTGTCAATGTGGCTGTTGGGATCGCAACAATCCTTTTATGGCTTACTTGGACAGCATCTCACTCCTATCTAAGAAACATCAAATCGGGATCTCAACCTCCCTCTCCGCAATCACCTACTGACGAAGACGAGGACTCGCCTACCTCTCCTACAGATCTCAGTCCTTCCCTCTCTTCAAGACTTGCTCAGACTCTAGAATCGATGGCTACCACCACAACTACAGGAACGGTCCCACCTTACATCAATTCGCCTATAGTTCCCTTGGTCTTTCTAGTAGGAGCCGGTTTACTTGAATTGCTCGATTTTCCCCCAGTACTCAATATGAGCCTAGATGCACACGCTTTATGGCATTTATCAACTATTCCGTTGGGTTGGGCTTGGTGTGTAGGCGTATTAGGACGAGATGCAAAATGGGAATCACAATTTGTTGAAGGAATTCTTGATGATGATTCAAAAGGATCTGACAAGGTACAAGAAGGAGCTTCTGATGAGAATAGCGAGTCATCGGACGATGGGAAATTGGTTTCTTAATTACTTGCAAGTTATGTATCCTGAATATCAAAATTCAACCCTGGTCAAGTCGATTTGAGAAGGTTTAGGCGTGCTTCACCTGTCTATAAAATTCGTTCCAATATGTCTCGCCGGGTGATGAATACTTGTCATGATGCCTAGAATCTCACCCAGGTTATTCAGTTTTCGCTTTTTCATATGTCTTGATTTTTGGGCTTTGTGGTAATAATTTTTATCATATGGTCATGTTGAATGACATTTTTCTGATCATAGTCTCCGTTCAAGGAGCCTGAGGGTGTAGGTGAGAAAAGGGTGATATTGAATTGTTGCGGACAAAGAGAATTTTGCCTAGTGTTAGGGATGCATGGACGAGGAGTGAAAAAGTGATCAAGCACACTTGTGCAATCTTGGGATCTTGGGTCGTCTTATGGAGGCATGCTCAGATGCGTAGAACATACAATTGGTCTGATCTTATTACAAGAAAAGCCTATCATCAACCGCATGACCTGCTTCCTTGCCGAGACATAGAGGAAAGGCAAAGTGAGCTTCATGCAGACCTTTTGCTTGTCTTCGAGCTACAATTGACAACTTTGAGAAGCCTGCATATACTGCTACCCATATCTTGCGTAACTCATCTGGATAAGTATCCCTACATACCTTTGAAGACCAAGCATAGCCATGCCTCAAATGTCCTATGCCTTGTGTTCTGCTGGCCTCAAGCTCAAACTTGCGGCGATAGGTCAGTTGCGATCAGTTGTCCATGTCTGCAATCACAGATATGTCCTCATTGTCATTCTCTCCCGCCTGTTTGAAATTTACGAGAAGCTCTGAGCTTCACGATGCTCATTTCCTACGTCTTCTAAGTCTGTAAAAGCAATGATGCACACGTTCTTACCATGCGACCCAGGTATGTAGTGCGGTGAATTGAGATTCAATAAGCAGGGACTTACATTATGCATAGTCAGTCCTGATAGTAAATGTCTCAGGTGATATCCTTCATCCACTTCTCATCTCGTTCTTATCTTTCACCGCGATCTTATGTCTTATATCTCAATTGTTGAGAACTCTCAGAATCCTACTTCATCCATACCCAGGCACAGTGACAGCCCAGCATCCCGGCAAAAGGCTAAAGGCTAAAGGCTAAAGGTCAAATATGACTCTACTTGCTCTGCACGCGCACCAACTTCTACCATTGTAGTCGAATCATTCTTGACTCTAGAATAATGCATGATACGTTTCGGCCACTGCATTGGCGCACCGTACGCCCACGTATGAAACTGAGATTTGCAAAAACGGTGCCATACAATGGGGTACTCAAAAGCCACTACAGAGGCAATCGAGCTTCTTGTGAACGTCAATACCCTCACAGTGATGGTACTTGTGGTGACATCAAAGACCAACTGACTGTCATTTCATTTCTATTGAGATATGCTTGCAGATAGATTACTCTCTGCAGTCTTTGAGTGAGAGCTTGCTACAAGGATATCACTCAGTTGCTCGCGTATCTGACCTTCTTGCCAAACCTTGCATCAAACCAAGCATGCCTAAGCGTGGCAATTTGTGCTGATAAAATAAAACGTAGTTTACATGTAAAGCTTTTCCAATTTTGGCCGCAAAATCCAACCAACATTTCGGCAAAATTGGGACAAGTGTAGTGGAAAAATTCAGAAGCGTTTTATGGATATGGATGACTCAATGCAATTATATTCCAAGATATAATGCGTGTTTGATTTGACGGTGGAAGTGCTGAATCACAAGACAAGGGTAAACTTACACTGAGTTATCATTTTGCTGCAGGGCAGACGCAGGCAAAAAAAGTGTAGCAAAACGTTTCCGAAATCCTGATGGGATGTCAGGGAATAATATTAAATAACCAGGTAGGCTCTGTTCAATAGCAGCCCTGAATCTCGATTCAAATACGTATGTGGTATCAGTAATCAAGGTTTTGTTCTTGACTCCATATGAATGATGCCCCGTTTTTTTATTTATGTGGACAATTTCAGTCTCCATCGTCGACAAAAACACTGCGGGCAGGTTTTGCGGCGAATGCCTCGGACTTTAGCTTCCGAAAGGTCTTGCTAACGTTGCTCACTTGTGCCATCCAGAACACTACACGTCAGAAACAAAGAAAGCTGGAGTCAAATGTTCAAGACCAATATATAGATAGGCTGCTGTGCTGATAAGATCATGTCGCATTCTTATAACTCAGTCAAATTTACAACATCTGGAACTGCTACAATAGGTGACATTATCAAATGCACAGTCATATTAGGGTCCAGACGCCCACAAATGAATACGAGTTGAAACAAATTTGGTATGTAGGACGTATTATTCTTACCCAGTGTTGAATCATAAAGAGATAGACAAGAGAGCCCATATGTTGCAGCCCGTCCACATTTCAATCTTCGATGGATGGGACACTACCATGGATGATGTACACGAATTTGAGGCAGAAAAGAGTATAAAAGGAGGGCCTTCTTAATGGTGCTTTTTCTATCCCACAACTGAAGCAAAAAGTCATATCTTTCGAATCGTCGCTTTCTTACAAATCATTTCTTGGATTTCAGACATAACTATCTACTTTGACAATCATCCAAGGAAAAATGCTATTATCCCTTGTTTTGCTAAGTATATATACTTGCAATGCTTTAGGCCAGAGTGGGTCCTTGATTCTCTCTATCAATTTATCTGAGAATTTCTCTCTTCCACATTATTAAATCCTTCAACCCCTTTTTTACATCGTCCCAGATGATATAGACACCAGCATAAACTATAGTACACATGCAATGCGGCAAGTCCCATTGAGGACACCCGCCGGAAAATACAACCACGCAACGTATGAAGCTCTGGATAACCATCATATGACAATCCTCGATGTGCGTGGAAAGGAAGAAGACTACAAACTCTTCACAAATGGGTTTGAGTACATTGATAAGCTTGAGCTCAGCGGATTAATTGAGCATATCCAAAGTCAAAATATTGAAAGTAAAGACAAGGTGAAAGGATTTTTAGCAGGACTTCAGGGACCAATTTGCCAGATGATAAAGGATACGTAAGTTCTATCCGAGTCACTTCTTCATGCAAACAGTTCTATCGAAGAGTAAGAGTTGACATTGATGCAAATTCATGAGGCATTCAGATACAACGCTAAAGAAGTGGTTGTTTATGCTACAAGAAACAAAGCAATGGTTCCGACAGAAGCAGCACGAGCAGCGAAACAGACTGCTGTAGGAATTCACTCAGACTATTCCCCAGAGGCTGCGAATTATATGTTTAAACATATGGAAGTCATCCATGGTGATCCGGTCAAATTCCGCGAATCAGTTGAGGAAACTGGCCGATGGGCTTTTGTTCATGTTTGGACCCCAGTCTCCACAATGAAATTCAACCATGTTGCAGTGGCCGATTGGACTACCGTTGACGAGAATGACACATTCGCAGTTGGCTTTAAAGAACCTCACCCAACAGACGGCTGTCGACATTGGAAATACAACCCAAAACATACATGGCATTACAAAAGCCACCAAAAACCTGGGGAGTTTCTTCTATACACCCAGTACAAAAGTGATGTGGATGGTGGAATGACATTGCCGCATAGTGGAATTGCTGAACCAGGTGTTGAGAAACCCGCATCTAGCACATGGAACGCAGGTTTTGAGATTAGGGTTGCAATGGCTCTTTAGATCTGATAAACATTAAAAACTGTGAAGTTTTATTGGTTTTGAGATGTCTTCATGGGTTTATGCTGAAGTTTTCAGTGAAGCAAGAACCAATTGTAGATTTATCTTCTTTTGAGATTTGAGGTCACATAGTATGTGTTTGTTAACCATATGTTTCCAGTTTTTCAAATATTCTACATTGTTTGATTGATCACTATGATTGTGACATTGGCAACTCCACTCTATACCTAGGTATTTTTTATTGAGTTGTCAAACAACTCAAATCTAACTGTCAAGTTCCATCCACTCCTTTCCACCATTCCTTGGAAGCTCAAGACTGTATTGTTGCCAATAAAATATAAAAGATTTTGTAGATCTCTGTCCTCATGTTATATCTGGAGGATCAATCAGCGCCATGATTTTTTTGCCCTATGAAAAATCCAAGAGAAATGATTCTACCTCACAATGTTTATCTCTTTTGGAAATTTTAGGGCTTGAATAGGGTAACAAGATCTCATTTTGGAGATCATTTTACCACTAGTACATATATCCATCTGTGAAATTCTTGATTTGATATATATCATTGAATATGTGAGTTCTATTTCTAGCCCAATTCTTAATAGTATCACTGCCTGATAGTACTGGGGTTCAAGTCAAAGGACATTGAACCTAAGTGTGTTTTGGGCATCTCTTGAAAGTATCAGACATGTTTAAAACCTTGCAAGAACCTCTAAAGGTACTTGTGAGGTCCAAGACCCAAGGTTCTATGACTTTTTTTGTTTCCAAAAAAAACAAGTCTTTTTTCTGTGTCAAGAAAAGGAATGCAAGTTGTTTTTTGTTCCTTGGTGGTCATTTTTTTACTCCTCTCTCATTGAGTCCCATTGATTGTTGGCTGCAGACAAGTTCTTGAGGCGCTTATTTGCTGTGTAACAAGGTTGATCTTTCTTGGTGCCTATGAACATGCACATCTGGGACATCTCTCACCATGAAGAGCTCTCCATTTCCACCAACACCACATTGAGAGTCAGACACCGGAGTGATCACACTGAGTGCTCTTCTGGCAGGTGTGACAATTCAAGACAAAATTTGAAGGGGATCTGAACATCAGTCTTGTACCCAGAAGGGTTTCCAGAAGCTAAAACTGAATCCATAGTGGGTTCCTTTTTTAACATGATTGGAAAGGGTAAATTTATAGTGTCAAAAGAATTGAAGTGATGGGATGGGAGGTTCATGAAGGCGGATTGAGTGATTCAAGTGAACTTGTGTGATGCTAGCTTGATATTGATTGAAATACATTTCAAAAAACAAAGAAAGTCAACAACTAGAATATATTGTGATTGATGAGGGTGAAATGATAGGTAGAACAACCCTTTATACCTCAAAGACAAGTTTTTTTTGCACCATTTGTTTGTCCACAACTTGTGAGATCAATTTCTTGTGTCCTTCAATTGACCAGAATTGCCACTATCCTTAAATTGCTATCCTAAGAAGTGGGGGCCACATGTTAAATTTAGGATCTCAAGGTTGAAGTTGATCAAAAGAATCAAATAGGTGATTAAAGCAAAGGTGGTAGATTGGTAGCGTGATATGTAGGAATTCAAAGGTTTGAAGCTTCTGGAAACATAGCAGTATGAGAGGTGACCTGAGGACATAAGTGGTCAGCATAACTTGGTAAGACATGAGATATAATTCAGGAGCAAAAAGTGTGACTCACATTGCACACCACATCCTGGTTGAAAAAATGTCTGTGCCATGCACCCCAGCATGTTTTTCTCTGCACTGAAAGTCAGACTTCTGAGCACTCTCCTCTTGCTACATTGATGTTAGTTTTGTAATATTCATTGCCTACTTCCATTCCCGCTGCCATTGCATTCATATATACCCACCCACATCAACAATCCAATCCTTCAAAAAATATTCTTAGCCACCACTATCAATATTTTACTACTATCCAGAAGTCAATGACCAAGAACTCTTGAGCTCGCAACTCTGCACCTTGATCAAGATGGAAAACCAAATCCCAATTAGCAAATCTCAGCACAACATACATCCTCAGGTTGATTTGTCAAGACAACCAATACTCACAGATGTGAGATATGAAGATCCAACCTTTGAGTGTACTTGGGGGCCATCAAAAGTCAATTTTTGAACTACTTCTAGCTTGGTTACTGACCCCTCTCAGATTGCTTACATTCCCTTTCTTTGCCTCCAGTCAATTTGGATTACAACAACTGATTGACACATTTATATGTGATCCAGATACAAGATCTTTATGCTTGACCACACTTTGTGCAAACAATTAGAAGCTCACCAAGTGTAATTGTGACTTTGAAGAAATTTAGAAGGCATTGAAACAACTGAAGTCCAACTTGTTTAACTTCTCATTCCCCCCCAATCAGAAAACTTGACCTTTCAACTTCTCTAAATGTTGATTGTCTACAAATTGGACTCATTGAAATACCCCTCAAGTTGCGTCTCCAAATCAGTTTTGTTCTCATTTTCACCTTAATTCAAAAACCAAGCACAAGCCATCCTAAGAATCCAAGCAATATTCAAGGCTGAGATATATTACATCAAGATATCATACAAATCACAATCATGTGACTCAAAACTCCAAGATAATGTAAAGACTATCAGAGTCAGTTTGGTTGCCTTCAACCTTGCAGATTTACCCAGCCAAAATCTCAGGTGTATGCTTTGAGGCAATTTGAAGTGTATACACTTTCAGTCCTGCTGTACAGAAGCTGTGGTAGGCCTGCAAGTTGTCCACCTCAAGTTCAGCCTGCCAAATATTTGATCTGCAAAGTTTGACATCTTGCTCAAATATTGCAGGTTGACCTGGCTAGTCCCATCTACATACCTGAAACCTCAAGCACATGGACATACACAGGGCCCAGTGACTCCTCTCTAGAGTGGTCACCCAGAGGGCTCCCATACCCCCACCAAACATTTGTCAAAGCTATGTTATAAGAAACTTGTTTGATGAGGCTCCAAGTGGATTTCTTCAAGGAGTTGTCTCAGATCAGAAAATGGTAAATGGAAAGACAACAGTTTTTGTTTTCTTCAAGAACAACATAGAAAGGTAAGGATAATAATTATTCCAATGAAGAAAAAGAGTGATATAATGCATTTTTTTAAGCTTGTGTACCTTTGCCATGTTCAAACCTAACCCAATTGCCAAAGAACCCAACACACCCATAGGTAACTTTGTGTATCCTGAGTTGACATTTATTGACACCTCCCAGCCAAAAGCTCAACCAGGTATACCAAGTTTTCTAGCAAGAGGCTTAAGTTTGAACACAGCTCTTATCTCAGATCTTGTTTTTCTCTTTCTTGAGTAACATTGTGTAAAATACCTTGTAGCACATTGACTTCCACACACGCGACAAGATTTAAAAACAAAATTGTTGAACTAAGTGTGTGCAAAGCAGCTCAGACCTGCATATTTGTCTCACAAAGGGATTGATTTCTGAGCACCTGGACAAAGGGATAGTCTTTGGATCCAAAGACCTGTTCAAAACTTCTATCATTCCTGTATGACTTTCTTTTTGTGTCTGCACGTCATTGTGCTACCAAGAAATTTACACAGTGTAAGTCATAGTGGCTTCTATCTAAGCACTTTTTATGTCCTCACAACCTTTAGCTCAACTTGTGCTTCAAAAATCCACTTGAAAGTTGTATAATACCTGCTTGGAATTTTTGACTTGAACCCCACTCTATTTGGGGAGCTCAGGTCAAGCAGATTTTGCAGTTTCAACCACAAAAAAGAAATCCCAAAATCACACATTTTTCCAAAAAAATTATGATTTCAGGATTGCTTCAACAAGATCCCAAATTTATCATGAGCAGTAAATTTACAGTAATGAGAAATCCTAGACAACTATAAACCCAAGAAGACTAAACAAACAACATGAGGTGAAAAAGAAAAGAAAGGTGTCAATCAGACTGACATTATAAGCATCAAACACCCACTGTCACAAAAGAAAAAAAAGACACAGATCAATGGTTTCTCAAGAAGCTACATAGTGATCACTGTTGATCACTACTGCTGACCATCTTGTTTTACAAACCAAGTTTTTCATATCAATTCATCATGAAAAGTTTCCTTGGTTTTTCAAGAAAAAGAGCGTAAAAAACCTGATTCCCTTACTTGTTCATTTTCCATGCATCAAAATTAAACCAAAGAACTCTTGAACCATTATTTTCTATTGTCCAATGATCTGAATATGTAAATATCAGAAAAACCAAAAAAAAACTAGAACCCCCTATTGTACAGTTCATGACATCAAGGCGTTGATCAGCTTCAACTTTCAAGCGACAAACACGTGTGTATGTTGTAAATAAAGTGAAGGTCTCGAATTTGAAAACGTTCCAAAGGGAGTTTAGGAGCTCATGACAAATACATACATATTACTACAACACGATCAAATCCATCATACAACCCTTGCTTTAAGGGGTGGTCCATGGTGTTGAATATTTATTACGCTCAAGCATCACACGCCACCAGTGTACTTAAAGTGATCAAAAGCTTGGATAAATGCTATTGACGATCAGAAAGTGATTTCCGTTTTCATATCGATCAAGAGGATTTTTATTTTGTTGTTGTTGCACAGATGATACATAATGAAATCAAATCATGACTGAATCAAATCATTCTTGGCAGTCTTAGATCATGAGATTTATCCAGATGGATGATGATGAAGAATGAATTAGATTGATCGAATGGAATGATTGATCTCAGTTGTTTACATACGTACTCATTAAATAAATCACATTGATTCTTCTTGATTGGGGATCTCTATAATTGTGGGTAGATGTAACCAAAGCATCGATGGATCATGATGGATGGATGAAGTTGAGGAACGAACGTGTTGATGAGAAAGTACAAGAATTTTAAGGTTTGAAGGTATTTAAATTTAATTTGTAACAGATTATGTACCAAGTTGGTAGTACAGTCACACTCACAGTTACAAGATTAAAGTCTTTTTTTTTTTCAGGAACGTGCTACAAACAAATTCAAACTTGTTCAAATTGCTTGAATTTATTTATTTTTTTTTAAAAATTAAAGAAATTAAAAAAATTTTACAAGCTCAAAGGTAATCATTCCTATCTCAATCAGATAGTTTGATCCCTTTCTCAAGTCAAATCGATTAACTAATCACTACTTCAGTATACAATCTCATAAACCATCTCCATCCTGTTAATCTGATCCTGATTCTAACTCTGATTCTGATTCTAATTCCAATCAAGATGTCAATTTCTAACTTGGATTCATCAAGAGAATCCAATTCGAAATCTCAACTTTATCCTTTACCCAAACTAACTATTTCTTTAACCAAAACTTTATCAAATGAGTTTGCTTTAACGAATACGACACTTTCGACTTCAATCTCTTCAGCTCCTCCTCCTGAACGTGAAACTTGGTTAGGTTCATTTACTTCGGGAATCGGTTTATCTTCTAAATCTCGTAATACTCCAAACGAAGCTCCAATCGTGATTGCTGATCTGTCTGATAGACCAAAAGCTGGGATTCTATTAAAGTAAGTCTTTTCTACAAGTAGTTTTCTATCAATCTTTCTTTTGTTCAAATTCACTAATAACTTTTCATCTTTTTATTGATTTCTCAACTTCAAGTTCAGTACCTAATACTCCTCAAATCACACCTTCTCAATCAACTGATCGATCATCTCAACCACCTACTCCTGCTCTATTACCTCAACCATCAATCAGTTTATCAAGTTCATTACCATCCAAAAACTCAATGTCATTTCAATTACCACCTCCTTCTTCTGATCAATCCAACACGCATACTCAATCCCATGATCAATCCAATCAAACTCGTCAAGCTCATTCTCGTAGTCTGACCATCAAATTCGCTCCTCTACCTGATCCTCGCTCTATGAAACAAAGATCTTATTCAATGGGTGGTGATCCACATTTCAATCATGAAACTCTACCTGATGGTTCGACCGGTGATCCTCCCTCCGCACTTCGACCTAGAGATTTAGATCCACTTCTGATCAATGAGAATCACCCATCAGATCATCCGTCCCTCAATTCGGCTCAACCTTCTTCTTCTCTTCAACCCGCTTCTTCAACCGAGAATCAAAGTTTTTCATCTCATACATCCGGTCCTCATCAATCAATCCAACCTATCCATCCTTCCAACTTACTCAACTCACCTGGTCCATCAGCTCTCCATCAGATTCCTAATAACACAATCTATCATACACCTACTGGATCGACTTCAGTCTCATCACTAGCAACCTCATCGTGTCATCCACCTTCTACACTTCCTACGGAATCCATCTCAAGGAAACTCTTTAATGCAGTTTCAAAACAACGCAAACCACGTTCATTGAACACATCCTCATCTAATCTAAGTTATGCAAGTAGTTCAGAGTCTGCAAGTTATGGTGCACCTTTACGACAGACTCGTTCGGTTGAATCGTCTTATAGTATCAGTGCAAGAAGTTCGGCAAGTGATTCGATGCCGAGTTGTCTTCGAAACCCGATCTTGAGAAGAACTAAATCCAAGGAAGAACCTTTGGAACAAAGACCACGTAGAAGAGCCCAGTATCCACCAGTTGCTCAACGTAAAGTTCATATGGGAGGAAGTCGAGGTGGAGCAGGAAGGGTGTCGATAATTGAAGAACCTGCGTTTGACGAATGGGGTGTAGCTGGTGGATCGGTCAAAGGAAGAGCCACAGGTACTTCAACAAGTGCTAGTTCAGTTTCCGATTTCGGTTCGGTTCGTTCAGCTATCGTTGCTGATGATGATGGAAGTGGGATGGCATGGTTAAGGAAAAGAAGACAAGAACGTGAAGAGAAAGCTCGTCGAGAATCAGATGCTAAAGTAGGAACTGGGGATGAGTCTACGACTCCTACGACTTCTGCTTCTCATAATATCACGCATCAACAATTGGCTTCTGTACCAACCGAAAGAAATGAAGAACAAGAAATCTTACAACCTTCTGTTACACCTCAAGCTGTGACTCTTCCACCGATTAACACCTCAAATGCAGAACTTTCAGAATCGTCTGCATCAGCTCCAACCAGCAAAAGTTCAGCCGTCACCAGCACAGGCTCAAACACAACCGATGGTGTTGAAGCTATCCGAACAAAAGAAGAAGAAGAAGAGGAAGAACAGGAAGAAGAAGAAGAAGACGAAACCGAACAAGTCCTTGACGAAGAAGAAGAAGAAGAAGAAGAAGAAGACGATGAAGAAGAGATCAGAAAAGAAGACTTGTTACAAGCTAAGGTCTTAGCTGAATCACCTTTTGTAAAAGGAGTTAAAGAAGTTTATAAAGAGTATGCAGTTGGAATCTCTCTTGGATTGATCAAGTGATTTTGAAACTCAAAAAAAGCTAATCTTTTTCATCATCAATCTTTCTATTAGGCGAGAACATCATTAAGATCCCCGACGAGCTTACCCGATCTTTGACTCTCTCTCTCTTTCTCTCTTGTTGTATTCTTTTCTTTGTCTATGTTGGTTTGTTTCGTTTCGTTTTTTTTTTTTTGGTTTCGTTTTGGGATGATGATGTGTTTAATTGTAATTTTATTAAAACAAACAAACTCAAAGATCAAATCTATCTTTGATGAACCAATTTTTTTTGAATTTCTGATGACTTTTTGTATTCTATCAATGTTGACTTTTTTTCCTCAAGTTTTTGTGTGTGTTTTTTTTTTCAAAAGTTTTTGAAAAAAATTCTTTTCTTTACTATGCTTTTCAAATTTTCAACGTTTAATTTTTAACTTTTCTTTATGATTTTCAAAAACTTATAATCTTTAATCCCTACTCTTCTGATTTGACTACTGATCTTTCTTTCAAACTCTTTCTGGTTTTTCATTTTGTTTAATTTCATTTTGTTTTTTTCGTGATTCTTTTTTCTTTCATCACCACCTGTTTTAAGCAAAAAAATGAATCTGTATTTATATCTTGAATTTTAAACTTCAATCTCCCCTCATCCCAAAAAAAACCAAGCTTCCAGATGGTCATTCTTTTTACTTGAATGTCTGAGTTGAGTTGAGTATGATCACTTGTTGAGGGTCTGAGGTAAAGGATGTGGTGGATAAGAGTAAGGTAGAGAAGCTTGAGCTTTTCTTTTTCATCTTCATGAGATCTTCTGCTCCAAGCTTGTTCATAGTCCTGCATACTATGTAGGATCAGCATTTTATGTAGGATCAATCAATTCACCTACAAGAGCATTCTAGAGTAAGCTGAGTGAGGGAAATGATGCAGAGTTGTATATAATTCCCAAGGAAAACATCAATTTAATGGATTTCAAGCAACTAAAGCCACTGAAGGAGAAAACTTGAGTAGAATTCAAATTCCAAGATGATAGTCACAGGATCTTGAAGCTGATGTGTGCAATAAGACAATCAATCAAGTTTGATCATTCAATCAACTCCAAAAGATTTTTTTCCCCAAAAAGCTCACCCAGTTTTATGAGAAACCTGAACAGTTTCTTTCAAAAACTCCACATCTTTTTTTTTTTTGAAAACTTGAGTGTTTTCCTCTGTTTTCAAAAACTCAAATTTCCTGAATATGTAAAGAAACTTTCATAGTTGGTTTTTTATTTTCATTTTTTTCATTTTCAAATTCCAAAGAAAATCATGACATATAAAAGAAACAAACCAAATCCATATCCAAAAAAATCAAAATCAAAACCACAAAAGACAAATAAAACAAGTTAAGAAATCAAAAAATCAATAAGAAATATAACCCCATTCCAATTTTTTCATTCCAATTTTTTCATTTTCATTTTCATGTTCATTTTCAATTTTATTTTTATTTTGATGATTGGTTGCTAAAAGAAAAAAATCATTTTCAATTCTTTCAAACACGAAAAGAAAAGAAAATCAAAAAACATACTAAAACATAAAGATTTCAAAAAAAAGATTAAATAAAAAAGATCAAAAAGAAAAAGAAAAAAGGAAAAGATAATCAAAAGAGAAAAACTATATACACAATCTCAAAGAAAAGGATAACTAATCAAACAAAACCGATTTCCAAAGAAAAAACATACAAACAAACAAACAAACAAAGTAAAGAACCAAGCAAAGAAAGAAAAGAACCAAGAAAAAAAATCCAAGTTTTTCAAAAAAAAAAAAAAAAAGGTATCAAAGTTTTCCAGATTTTCTCAAACCATAAACCAACCTTTCTCCAAAATTAATTAATGAAAGATGATTCAATAAATTTTTTCTAAGTTTCAATCGGTAAGATTTCCCCAGCCAAGAATCTAGCCGCTTCAGATCCTTCAATCGGTCTTCTACCCAATCCCTTGTGGTTCCATCTTTCTTTAAACTCTTCAAACCCTTCAAGTTCTTCAATTCGTATCCTCCTTTCAGCTTCTCTTACCAACATCTTTTCCACCAAACTCTTAATACCATCACCACCCTTCATCTTCCCCTTCTCCCCTTCTTCTTCGGATGGCCATTCATAAGACCCCTTAGCAATCTTCACCAACATCTGTCTCCTACTATTTCCCCCAAACGGTAACCTTCCCACCACCAAAGCGTAGCCTACAACACCTAATGCCCAAACATCTGTTTTTCTACCATCATACGCTTTTCCAAGGATCAATTCAGGTGCTGCGTATTCTTCTGAACCACATCTAGTGCTAAGTAAACTTCCTTCTAAGTCTATAAACCTTGATAATCCAAAATCAGTCAGTTTGATCATCGGTTCAGACTTTGGTGGTAATTCAATTGATCCATCCACAAATAATGGTCTAGTAAGTATAATATCTATGAAAAAAAATCAATTAGAAAAAAAGACTCTTAAAATAAGAATTAATGATTGTGAGAAAAAACTGACTTTCAAGTTTAATATCTCGATGAACAAGTCCAAGTTGATGCATCCAACCAATAGCAGCAACCAACTCACCCATACTCCTTTCCACAAACTCATCAGTAAAGGAAGCATGAGCTCTTCCCACCAAATCAAACAATTCGCCTCCTCCCACATGTTCAAGTACCAAGACTGTATGAAGCGTATCAACCGTTTCAAAAGCCGCTTTCATTCCTATCAATAATGGATGTCGAATATGCTATGACAAAGAAAGAAAAAAGGTACAAGTTTAGTTTAGTTTTCGGATCTATTACAATTTGGATTTTGTACTCTGATTTACCTGTAAGACACCAATCTCTCTTCCTACCGAACTCTTCATTCTTTCATTCCGGTCAACTGCATCGTTAGCGATCATTTTCAGGGCCACAAGTTGATGACTCGGTCCATGTTTAGCTTCAACAACTTTCGAAAAACTTCCTTCACCCAAGGTCCTAGTGATATGATAAACAATACCAGACGCAGGATCGAGAAGTTGTGATGAGTTTTCTACAGTGGATGATGTACTAAAGCTAGGCTGTTCTTGTTGAGCCGAAGTAGGTGTAGGTGTAGATGAAGAAGAAGATGCAGGACTGAGAGTCGAGAGTCGAGAAAGAGTATGGTTGGTAGCTACGAAAGTGGGATGTCGACTCGGAGGTTCAAGGTGTTTATTGGGAGATGGTTCGGTATCATGATCTGATTGATTTGGATTCTGTCCATTGGTAGTAGTAGTAGTAGTAGTAGGTTTCAACATAGAGTGTTTGAGTGGTGTATACCGTTTATCGCATGAGACTTCTGGCATGATGCTCTCATTCAAACGTTTGATAGATGGGATCCTAGAAAGATGTGATGGATGCGGACAAGAGGTTGATCTGCTGGGTGACGAAAGAGATAAAGGACTTGTACCATCTGGACTGAATTTCGTATCAGGTTCGATAGGAGGTGAAGAAAGGTTAGGATGATCTATCGAAGGAGGAGAGGTTGAAGGAGTAGGATTGTAGGAAGAAGAAGGTGAATCAAAGATATTAGAAAGACGGTCTTGATGAGTTGGACTGGTCTTTTCGGTATTTTGACAAGTTTGAGATGAGCTTAAGCGAGGAGGTGGAAGGACTGTATTGAAGGGTGTTGCAAAGAAACCGGAGGTCTTGTTTTGAGAAATAACCGTAGTTGAATTAGATTTAGAGTTTGCAGTGGTGGGAATCGAAAAGAAATCGAGTGAGTCATGAGCTTGAGGTTGAGAATGTGAAGTTGAATGATCTTCTTGATTAGATTGTTTGAAGACGGTA